AGCAGACACTACCGCCACTGGCACCAGTCGTCTGGACAGGTATGCCGAGCAGTTGGCAGCAATTCCGGAGATTAAGAGCTTGGGACCGCTCTTCAAGTCCTCGGCCGAGGTGGAGCTCACTGACCCCGGCGCCGAGTATGTGGTCACGTGTGTAAAGCATACTTTCCGTAATCACATGGTTTTACAGGTGAGTTGAGCGAAATGAACGTGCGTAGTATGATTATTGTTCTTTTTCCCTTACTATTTTTCCCCATTGAAATAATTGTTTTGGCGGGTGAGTTTAAGAATGGTACTCGATTTTTTTTCGATGGCTCTTCGTAGGTAACTTGTGAGAATCATCCGAAGCATTCACCCCCCCCCTAGGTTTCTGTTTTCGGGAAGCTATTCACACCGCTGATCCTAACTTCCACGCACTCTATCTCAGATTTTCACGACGTCACACATTTTTTTGGTTTTCACTCCAATTACACCGGAGCCCTATTACCGCGTCCACGGTTCTTTCGACAAGCCGGGCAGGCTGGTGTGCTCCACTGATGTTAGAGGATGAACTTTAAATTGTGTCTGTCCCTATTCCTCTACGAAGTTCTTTGCTTCTACCTTGCGGTCATCGATCACCAAGACGCTATAGGGCGAGATCCACACGAAGGAATCATCACCATAAGCGCTTTAAGGGGAGAACGAACCTGATAGGTGACCCACGGCGTTTAGAGTGGCCTGTGCATCTCACGATTCGTCACTCTGATGAACCTCGGCGAGTATTCTTTATTCTTAATTTCAACGTAAGCGCCCACAGACTAGCTTGGGGAATTCACTTGCAGATTTTCTTGTCGTAATGAAAAAGGCTCGCAAAATTGTGGTAGGCGCCCAGGCTTTAACCGCACAAGCAGGCCGCCGCCTTCTTAATTTAAGTTGTGTTTGAGGGACTGTGTCTGGAGTCAGAACCCTTCGTTATAGGCGTTGATGACCATCGAGAATTACTATTTTTTTAGAGAGAGAGACTTTAGATGAACACCTCTGATTGGTTTACTGTTGCCAGGCGATCACAGGTCGACACCCGGACGCCGGCTGACTTATCACGACTGCGCCGATGATATTGCGCTGCTAGCTTCAAGCTTTCGTAGTCTATAGTCTGTAGT